CACACACACACACACAGCATGAACGGTGTGCACTGTTTTTGAGCGTCGTCGAAATGTTTGCTGCCATTTGAATTTGTTCGAAATATTTCAATTTATAGCACCTAGCACCTTAATGTTTGTGTGTCGTTTTTTTGGTGGATCACTTTTTCTTTGGGTACTTTGGTAACATTTTGTTTCTCATGTTGCACATTAAAACGGATTACTGTTATTTGGGTCAGAAGTAGCACTGAAAATATGCTCACTCTCTTGCTCTCACCATAAAAGCGTCTGCCAAAGTGAAAACGATTTCTGTGTTGTTTGGTATTTCGTGTTGTGTTTCGTAATTCAAAATCTGTTGGCTTGGGCAAACACACATGCGAGCAAGAGTAAGGGAGTAACAAAATGAGCGCAAATACTTGCACGTCAAATTAATTAATTTCATCTTGTGCCGGTGGCCGTACACACAAACACACACACACACACACACACACACACACTGCTTGCATTCGCTCTAAATCTGCAGCTGAACAGATTTAAACTCATAATAGCCATTAGTGTTTGTAGATTGGTCGGTGGCGTTTAAGTTCTTGTTGTATGTAGGTGGCTTTTCCCACCTCCTCTTCATCGTTCGCATTTGGGGAAATCTGTGTTGCACAAATTCAAGGTGACACCTATTTCGCCTCTTCCATTTGCTAAATTCCGATAGCTTTTTCGCTTAGCGTGCATTGCGCGTTTTGTTTACTGTTTTTCTTAATCGTTCGCTTCTCGTTCGGAATTATCAGCAGGCCAACTCAAATCCGGATTGAAGAGGCAACACGCGCAGGCAAACGAGGGAGAAAAAAAACCAACACAAGCTAGTGCCACTTGAAATTGGTTCGTTGCAGAAAATACCTTGAAAGCATACAAACACGTAGCAACCAATTCAATCTTTTGAATGCGATACAAATGAATCTTTTTCAACTATGGCTGCTACCGACGTTTAACTTCACTTTCGACCAACGAATCGAAGAGAGGGAGAGAGGAAAAGGGCGAGTGAGACAAAAACACACTCCTTTAATTATGTTTTACTGGCACACTAAACATTGTTCACATTGAGTTTTAAGCTACATTGTCTCTTTTAATTCAATAATTTGGAAGGAGGGAGCATCGACGACGACGACGACCAATTTTAATTAAATCCGATTAGAAGAGCTTACCTTAATGCAAGCACAACGCACTAATCCTCCAATATAGTTAGACATCAGCTGGGGGATGACATCTTTCTATATCGCCTTCATTTGGTTTCTCTCTCTATCTCTATATTTGTGTGTGTGCTTAGCATTGTATTGTATTGTATTGTATCAGAGAATGTTGGGAATTCGTTTTGCTCCTCGTCGTTTTTTTCCCGGTTTGATGCTGTATATGTGTGATTCGCTTTGATCTGTTTCTGCTTGGTTGTGCTCGAAAGCCAATTAGCTGCGTAATCATGGCATTTATTTAAGAAAATTGCATTCATGAAGAAATCAGCTTCAAAACTGTAATTTGGCTACTTTGTACGTTTTTCGTTCTTTCAAAAGGATCAGTTTCTTGTGTGCGACACTTTTGTTACAAACTTATTTCATTTCTGTTCCTATTTTTGCCTTGCGATCGTTAAAATGTGCCAGAACATCGTAAAAGTTGCATCAAGTATGAAAATCTACTGTACGCCACTCTTCATCTGCAATCATTACTATGAGGAGTGAATTGATAGAATCGCGCAATAAAAATTGTAATAAAATGTTCTATGCGCGTGTGCTCATTTTTTTTATCTCTCTATCGCGCGCATTTTTGCATACATTCGCTTTCAAAAGTTTTCTTGACATATTTTTCAATGCGATTTCTTTGTCAGTTGCCGTTAAAAGTTTGGCCGGTTATTCGTCATTTGCGTATAATGCAATAATTAAATAAACGGACTGAAAAAGTTTCGTTTGGATGCGGTTTCAATGTTGTTGTGTTTGCCCATTGCTTTTTCGACATTTGCCGGAAATACTCGTTCGCCATGAAGATAATTACTTGCAACTTTTCGTATTTTATTGAAGTGTTTTTTTTATTCTCCGTCTGTTTTTTCTGTATGTGTGTGGTGTGTTGCAAGCACGCGCCTCGCTCTCAACCGAATTTGTTGTGTGGCAAACAACACAAACGGCCAAAAATGTTGACAAAAGATTAAACACGATGCAAAAATCATAACGTTCGTTCGTCATAAAACTCAACTGAGATTTTACTTTTCGCAAACGGATTATTGAACGAAAAGTTTTTCGAGGGTTTTTGCCCGAAATTTATTATTCCTCTGCAATTTCTTCTTCTGCCCTTCGACCAAGTATTTTCCATTTTTTATGTGGCCTCGCAATTCATGTTCATATTTGATGGTTTCTCTCCTTTTTTTTATTGCGTACATCTTTATTTCGACAAAAATATTTTATGTGGCAGAATGGTGGGGGCAAGTACTTGCGATTTTGATGGATATTGAAAGTCCAGCATCTGAGTATCGAGAGAGAGAGACAGAGAAAAATAAAAATCATTCCGCCGAAGCCCATGATCCATCATAAATGTCAATTTATTAGATTTATTTATACGTGTATATGCTGGCATTCCAATATTTATGGTTATGAGTGCAATAAATAAAAATTATTTATGCATTCACAGGTAATAAGTTGTAAGTTGTTTTCAAGTACTAACAACAGAAAAATACAACGCGAATAACAACAGCAGCGGTAGCAGTGATATAATAATTACGGTTTCTTATCTTCTCATTGCAGGTATTGAAACGGAAACACCGTTTTAGCCCCATACCAAAATTATGTAAGTAGTTTGTGTGTTTTTTATTATCCACTTATTGCGTAATAGAATTTCGCAGCAACTTATTTTGGAATGTGTATAAAGCTCTCTGTGTTGCTTATGAAACTTATCGAATTTATGCAGAGCAACTCGGTCCTCTTGAAAGCGAAAAGACGACGACGACGAAAAAAAGCAGGAATTGTGCCATAAAATATGCTCAAAATTCATTCAACCGCAGGCTGTGGAATAAAGTTAGTTTTGAAAAGTGGATCTTGGGCGAAAAAAGGACTCCAAAATTGGAAGAGAGTGAACTGCAAAAAAAAATAAGAACTGAGTGAGGGCGTTGACAAAGTGAATTTGTCCAATTTTATCGTCATCATACTCATCGTTTGCGTCGTCATTATCATGGCACAGTTTCACTTTGGTAACTTTTTTTGTTTTCGACCACAGCGTGGCGGTGGTGGCAGCGGCCACTTTGTGTGCCGATCTCTTGCCTCAACCAAAAACTGGTGCCATCGGTCGGTTTAGCATGCGACCATCGTAGCAAACTTTTATAACTTATTTTTTTCTGTATGTCACCGTGTACGAATCTTCTTCGATGAAGAACCACTTTTTTGCTCTTCCTCTTATTTCGCTCTTTGTCTCCTCGTAAAACTTATGAAATGGTTTTTTTCCCTTTGATGCGCGCATTCATTTTCTCCGCCGCTCTCAAACGAAATAATCTTTCATTCTATTCAATTCTTTGTGTTACTTTGCCTTTGCTTTGAACATGTGCTTTTTTCGGAATGTCTTCTTTTCTCTCTTTCACTCTACCTCCGGTAATTGCCAGAAGGGTAAGTTACTTTTGTTTCGAAACCATTTTCAAATGGAGTGCACCACCGACCACTTTTTTTTCATCTTCTTCTTCGTCGCATTGTTTTGTCGTTGACACACACAACAACATTTATTGCCATTTCGGTTGTTGGTACTTTTCTCTCCGGCCTTCGTGGCATTTTTTTCAATTGTCTCGCTACTAACAAAAAGAACCATTAAAAATCCAGAGAAAAATACTGTCAGTTGTACACATGCTGCGTCTGAACCTAGGGGCTTTTATGTCGGTTTGGCATTCGAATTTTTATTCACAAATTCACGCTCAGTGCCATGCATTCGCAACGCTGCCATATGATTTCTATGTAAACATTCGCACTCGCATTCGTATAGCAGTCGTATTTTGCTGTTCTCGGACGTTCTCACTAATGCATGCACAAACACGAATGAACGAATGAATTATGTAGTCATAGCTGCATTCGTCGCATTCGCAAACATTCGAATTTTTGTTCTGAAATGCGAATGCATTCGCAGCATTCGCGAGAGATAAATCCCCTTAGATCTGAACAGACATTCATACGAATGCTTTAATAGCATGGAAGCAAGCACAATGACACAATGATTTTGATATTTTAACAAGTTTTCTTTCTGCTTTTTCACAACATTGAGAAACAGACTTTCTATGATACAAATAAAGCTGAATTTATTCTTAACTCCAGTTTGATCAGTAGCAAATTGCCCTAAATTAATGAGATTTAATAGGTAAAATGAAAAGAAATTAGTGAATTGAATTGAATTATTTTTCTTTCAGAGTGAAAATTCGCAATTTTTCAAGTAGGAATTCAAGAATTTAAAAAAAATTTGAACTAAATTTCAACCAATTTTCAAGATTTATTCGACAAAATCAAGAAAACATCGAATAAAACTTGTACATTTACCAATGAAACACGAAATTCAGAAAATATTTTCTGTCTGGTTAGCAGAAGCGTCATCGTTAAAACCGTATACATGCAATCGTATTAATCAAAACAGAACATAAATACCCATGTTATATGGGGCAGTGCACCGGGCGTCCGTGTGTAATACACAGTTTTTCATGTGATTTATCTACTTCAGTATAAAATTCTCACAATATCAATCTATTTTTATACCGTGTGCGTGCTATATATTTTTTGACATTTGTAGAGTTAGCGCTGACAGTGAATGTAAATCATGATCACAGCACTACTTATAAATACTATATTTAACATCGTCTCATTCATTCTTGCCGTATATACTTTATGAATGTGCTCAATCTATTTCGAACTGTACATACACATGCTAAAACCCAGAATTGTGAGTGATTTTTTTTCATTTCTGTTATTGTGAGTGACTTTGAAATTTGAAGCCACCGCATTTGCTTGCGTCAGTCGATCTAAAGCAGCTATCTCGTTTGTACTATACTATAAAATAATACGATGAACACTAACTGTTACCCAACTTGACAGTGCAAATGTCATAAAAATATTGTTATTGGTCTAATGAAATTTTTATCGGAAAACTTTATAATATTTTCTTCAAAGTGTAAATTGCTGTGATATTTGTTCAAGCTATGGACAAATTATGGAAGAAAGAAGGGGCGAGTTGCGTGTTCGTTAATCTTTGTTTATTCGCTGGAAACAGTGAAAAAGCCGAAGATGGATGGGAAAATCTCAGTTTATACGAATCATGCAAAGATAATCAACATTCAACCGAGCTTCGAATGAAGGGAAACGTAAAATTTCGCTTGGGTCTTTGGACTGACGCAATGGACTTTTCCAATCAAAGTTTGTGTTTCGCTGAAGTCAATTCGGAGAATGTTACCCTGGCGTATGCAAATCGATCGGAGTGTTTTTTTCGCATGGAAAAATACCATGAGGCACTCATCGATATCGAATTGGCCGAAAGTTCAAACATTTCAAGCCGTTTGATGTCGAAGCTCGACCAAATTCAACAAAAATCGATGGCATCAAACGAAAATGCGAAAAAATGTGGAAAAAATGAAAAAAGTCAAGGAACTGAAAAATGTGAAATCGACAAAACCAACGAATGTCCCAAAGTGAAAATGAATTTCGAGCAGAATAGAAATTATCCATGTATGGCGAATGTACTGGATATAGAATCAAACCAGAATTTTGGCCGGCATTTGATAGCGAAATGTGATATTCCAGTGGGGCAAACAGTATTGATCGAAGAAGACTTTGTGTCAATGAGAGTGGATGATGAATTGGTGTGCGGTACTTGCTCCAAACCAAAAATGAACTTCATCGCGTGTGCCAACTGCACGGAAGCTGTATTTTGTAACAGTGACTGTATGAAACGGAATTTGACTCACAAATGGGAATGTGGCACCATTTTTGCGCAATTGCACTATCGAATGCGATTTCACATTCAAGCGATCCTCTTGGCCGTCGGAACATTCGGCACCGTTGAACGTCTAATGGAGTTTGTTGAAAATGTATTGCTTGAAGATCCTGATGAAGTACCTCCATCATTGAACAACGCTCAATTGAAGTATCATTTCTTTTTTAAATTAAGCAAATCCGCACCGATTCTTCCTCAATATCTGCCGAAAATAAGTCAAATTTATAATAATGTTCTAATGCTTCCCAAAACCAGGGCCCTCTTTGATACCGACGAAAAACAGCGTTTTTTGATGCATTTAGTACTGCATCATTTTCTTGTGATCAAAACCAATTCAATCATCAGCAAAAATCCATGGTCAACTATTTCCGTGTTCAACGTTCTATCGATGCTGAATCATTCTTGCGTGCCGAATATTTACCATCCACGAAAAGGCAACCAGCAATACTGTGTGACGATAAGACCGGTCAAGAAAGGAGAACAACTTTTTATTAGCTACTTACCAATCAACAATGAATTGTTATACGAAGAACGGAATGAAAAATTCACATCTACATGGGGATTCAGTTGCATATGCGAAAAATGCCGTGGATTCAAAAAACCAATCGAACCAAATTCAATCATTTCGGATTCCAATTTTCAATTCATCGTAGAGAATTTCAATATTGAAGGCAATCGAGATAAATTACCAATTTTGATGGAAAACTGTATTATATTTTTGAATAATTTCGGAAACACACCATGTTCAAACGAGATTTTGATGATCGTTACTATTTTCGTGGTTTTGTACATTGAAACGCTTTCATAACAGTATTTTGATTTCGATTAGAATGTGATTTTTCCATTAGAAATGAAACATTTTGAATAAAAAAATACTTAAATAGTCAACGAACATAATTGAAGCCGGCTAATGATCGAATCGAGTAACTCGATTAAACTGTTAAAATGTATTTTCCTCAATAAAATAAAAGCTATCATGAAATTTGACGTGATTTTTTTTTTTTTGGAATAATAATCTCAAATTTTCCACCAAATTGGTAGTAACATTCATATGTGGCACACATTGCATGCATATCGCTAGAACATTTTCAATCTACATCAATATTTCAATGTATTTCAAAGTCTGAAATGACTTGTGAAAGGTCAGTGTATATTGACTGTCTATTTATAAGGTTGCATAATTGATACAAAATCCCAATTTTATGGAAATGACTTGAGTGTCTCCTCCTCTTTCCATTTCCGTAGCAATTTGAATATATTTATGTGTGTTTATTGCTTCTAAACAACATCATACAAATATTGACGTTGTTTGCATCATCTCCACCTTTCAGTTGTCCTCTCTGTTTCTCTCCCTATCTTTGCTGCCACTTATTTGCCTCTATGTTTGTTTCGCTCTCTTCGTTTAATGTCCCATCCGATTCTTGGCTGCAATTAGAGTGAACATGAATGTTAAACACATTGAGAATATGTATGCTAAATTGATGAGATCCAATTGAGCCTAGACAAAGATGCTCCAAACGGAAACTTGATTCAAGTAAATATTTGCAGATTACACGAGCAAACACGAAAATGGTGTACTATCCACAATGCTACGTACCGTCTTGTTACGGTCGCTCTGCACAATAAATGCTACAATATTTATTTTCTCAGTTCTTGAAAGTTCTTGTTTCGATTTTCAAACTAATCAAAAGTAATTTTCGATCGAAACATTTTAAGCGCATCACTTTCATGCATAAATATTTGATGCATTTCAATCGTTTGCCCAAAATTCTATCACTGAATATTTTTCGACTTTGTGTTAGCTTAGAGTTTTTGTCGAATATTTTCAGAAGAGATTGAATCCCACGATGAATCTAAAGTTTCATTATGCAGAATATGGATACGTCTAGTTTTGATGTAAAAGAACTAAAGTGAAGAGTGAACATAGAAAATTGATTTGCTCTCCGGCTGACGTTGCTAAATGGCCGTCAAACAACTAGAGCCAAATTTATGATTCATGAGTGTCTGGCATGAGAATGTGAATTCAGACAAACTCACATACACACACACCGAAAACATTTGTGAAACAAAGCTTTTCTTAAAGTGTTTTTGCATTGAGTTGCTCATTTGATGTCGGCCAGCCACTTGTCTTTGGGTCTTTTTCTGTTTGTTGCACAGCCAACGTATTATGTATGAGCATATAACGACGTTAAGTGAAATATACAATAAATCATCGAGCGTTTTATGCAACAGCATTATGAAATGTATAGCAGCTGTAGTCCGTGGCAGGAGCAGCACAAGCAACAGAAGAAGCATTTCAGCATCAGCAACAAACACGAGCGCGTTATTTACAAAATGGCCTGTTCACTGTGTTTTTCACTCCGTGTGTCATGTTGGAGGTGGTTTGATGACGACGAGATGATGTGTGAATCATTGGCTATTGTGTTTGCTGGCTGCGTGTTCGAGCACATCTTCACACATATTCGTCTCACTCTTTTCAGACACCACTTCCATTGCCACCACGAGCAGCATCGCTGCTGCCACCGTCGACATCGTCACACACACACACACACACACATCCAATCTACCATCTATTATTCATACACGAGTGAAACAGAAAAACGGGTTCTGTACGAAGCGTCTTATCCCTTTTAGCAGCCGCTTTCATGTATACACAACATTTTCAATTGTGCGCTCTTTAGCTCAAATGAATTATGGCCACAATTTATTTCATCGCTTGTTGGCGCTCATATGTATGTGTGTATGCTGCGATGATGATGACGACGACGACGACGATATTTATATTTATTATTATGATAAAAACGTTTAATAGCAAACTGAAATCCGACATTACCTCCTCCTCAGAACACAACATTTCATCCAAATGTTAATCGATTGGTTTATTTTTATTTGTGGTTGAATTTCCTCTTTAATTTTTTTGTGTATGTACACTGATAAACGAATTTCGGTTTGGAAAAAATCAAATTTAATATATTGAACGGTACACAAAGGAATTTATTGATTCAATAGGGCTTCACAGCAGCCACCATGCGTACACACAATGAGAATCCCCGTACGGAAATTCAACAATGGTAAGAAAATCAAACATCACATCGATTGTCAATAAATTTGTATGAAAACATTTTTTCGGTGCGTCTCATAAAATGTAATCGATTCAATGTATATATACATTATATGAGCCGAACAAAGTGTTGGATGAACAACAGCAACAACAGGAGAGAGAGGGAGAGATGAAAAAAACACCGATGAAAAATGACAAGCGAGTCTGTTTGGTGTGTGGGCTTTCTTCATTGTTGTGTATCAATATGGATTTCAATATTTCTTGTATTTTGTGATTGCTTTTCGCCACTGCATTCTTACTTTGCGTCGCCTCTATTTGCATATGTACGACCATGGTGCTGCGCCAATCCATTCCTTTCTCGAACACACTAGACGTTCGATCCCAAACAGAACTCATTTTTTTCCCTTTAAAAATTCAACAAAACCGTTATTATTGTTGTTTGAGAAATGCGCATTGAATAAACGGAAACATTCGTCCCCATTTCCATTTAGTATGGATGCTTCGGGTGTTTGTGCATACCTGAGCTGCATTAACAAATAAACGGCGGATGATCTTGTTGTTGTGGAATTATAAAAAGAAAACTCATAAACTGAATTGCTTGCCAGCACTGTCGATACGGTATGGCTACAGCCATGGCTGGCTGTCGGCATAAATGCCAACACAAGACATACCGCAAAGAACATATCAAATGAAATGGCATCGTTATATTTATAAATTTCAATGAGCAGCAATTCGTGCTCCACTGCAAAATCAATGGCATTTAAGGATTTGTAATGGGATTATTAAATTTGTGCGAATGCTTGGGGAAATGGCGATTTTCTGCACTCTCTTTCAATATCGAATGCCATAACCGAGCCAAAAACCATCTCTCATTCGGCAATATCGATTTCAAATCGATAATAAATGAGAGAGAGAGAGAGAGAGAGATGGAGACTTTTGTTTCGATTGCGCCGATCGGCAATCGAGTACGGCTTTTAACATGCAAATTAATTTTGTATTAATCCGGTTTTGGTTTCTCATGCCACAAATTCAATTGGATTTTTGAATATTATACCCATTATTTATACATATTTGCCTTTTTCTATTCAGATTGAGAAAGGGAAGAGAACGAGTGTGCAAGATGAAGAGAAACAAAACGTTTTCCGGGAACGGAAGGAGCTTTTATGCCGAATAATACACCAATTACGGGAAATAATGAGTATCATAAGAGGTTTCTGCTGTTGCCTCACTTTTCCTTCATGCCGTACACAGTTCGATAGGTTGTCAATTCGAGAGCGAGATTCATTGTAGGGAAAAAGAAGACGAATGGTATTGATATCGCTTGGCATTCATTACAACGACTTTGATAATGGAATTTTTCTGTTGACTCGGCAGGAAAATTTACCAGGCAAATATGGCTCAACTGGTGTATTGTATGCGTTGAATAATCATTATTTTCTACAATAAAATACGCAATCTGTGCCTTATGTGCTATCCATATTCACTTGCTCTCATTCTCTCTCTCTCTCTCTCTTACGCGCGCTAGCTCAATTCCACCATGGTTGTATGCATTCCAACAGCCAGTAAATCTGCTGTATCTCGTTGGCATGCCGTACGCTCATGAGGTACGTGAGTTCGTGCGTCAAATGTTTCGTCTAATTTAGTTAAATGAGCATTTTACTTCCATTGTGCCATTGCAATCGGTTGCCTATTGTGTGGCGTATATCCAAGACTGCCGGCGAATACTTGCGGAGTGATGGTATTGTATTACATGCACCATCAAAATAAAAGTGTAATCAAATCATCCAATATTAGTTAAGCGTTGCAAACGCATGTACGAGACATGATCAAAATCATAAATTGGTCGTCTTTTGTCACAGCATTCCGTTATGTATGCGCACTTTTCTCTTTCGTCGGTCTTTTCTTCCGTTTCGGTGATAAAAAAAATACAATTCGTCGTTCTTATGAATATATCAAGAATAAGTGATTTTGACTGGCTGGCACATGCTCAAATTTTATTTCATTTGCTACTGCCGTCGCACACACACACACACACATCTCAAACACCATCACTCTTTTCTATCCGCTTAGCAATGGAAGAGAGCTGAACAGATTATCGATGAACTTTTTATCGTATTCATCATGCGAACGGCGAACAAGCGCACACAAATGAAAATCGAAAAAGTTTTTCGGACCGAAAAAAAAAGTTTGTTTGACACTTTTCTGGTATCATCTCTCTCTTGCACTCGCTTGTTCGCTCGCTCTTTTGCCTTCAGCGTACACTCCATTTTATCTCATTTCGAAATGGTTTTAATGGTCGAGTGTGGGAAAGTTTGAGTTGAACATTGGTTAACTCAATCACATTTGCTTATGCATTCGATTTCGAATGGAAAATTGAAAAACCCACACAAATCAATAACACTTTTGCATGCACAATTATTCAATCGAAGGCAAACTTGTTTTCAAATTATATAATTCGGTTCTGTTTTTTGGTAAAAGTGTAACAATTTGCCGTTTTGCTTCACCGAAGCACAAAATCTCAATTAAAAATTTTGAAAGGCAGGTGGAACTAGGAGATTTGATGCAAAGAGAACAGACAACAGATACAATGATTTTGTCCAAACGCTTGGATACGTACGATGATTTGGTCTCAAAAGTTCAAGACGATACGATAAGTTGGAAAGAAGCTTCATAATTCTCTTGGAAATGAATTTATTCTGGATGAAATTGCGAATATTTTCTTCACCATCATCATCATCGTCTTCTTCCTTTTGCTTACCAATAAATGTCCATTTTAATCATCTGTGGAAATAAATACTTAATTATAACTCGCAACAAACGGTAATTTAATTGATGGTTTGGATAATTGTTGTATTAAAACTTACGCTGTATATTAAAAGATCGATGAAGGAAGAGGAAATATTCCATTTGAAAAG